CCATCATCCCCAAAACCCTAGACCCACTCCAATTCGCCCCAACAGATCCACAGATGACAATCTCAATCGCACTCCACACATCCTTTCCCACCTGGACAAAAGTAACACCTATGTGAGAATGCTATTCATTGACTACAGCTCAGCGTTGAACACCATAGTGCGCACAAAGCTCATCACTAAGCTAAGGACCCTGGGACTTAAACACCTCCCTCTGCAACTGGATCCTGGACATCCTGACGCGCCGCCCCCAGGTGGTAAGGGTAGGCAACAACACGTCTGCCACGCTGATCCACAACACGGGGGCCCCTCAGAGGTGCGTGCTTAGTCCCCTCCTGTACTCATCTCCTTTGAGCAAGACAAAGGAGATGATCGTGGACTACAGGAAAAGGAGGGCTGAACACGCCCCATTCACATTGACGGGGCTTGTAGTGGAGCGGGGTCGAGAGTTTCAAGTTCCTTGGTGTCCACATCAACAAACTATCATGGTCCAAACACACCAAGAAAGTAGTGAAGAGGGCACGACAACACCTTTTTCCCCCTCAGGAGACTGAAAAGATTTGGCATGGGTCCACAGATCCTCAAAAAGTTATACAGCTGCACCATCGAGAGCATCCTGACCGGTTGCATCATCGCCTGGTATGGCAACTGCTCGGGCATCTGACCATAAGGCGCTACAGAGGGTAGTGCGTACGGCCCAGTACATCACTGGGGCCAAGCTTCCTGCCATCCAGGACCTATATACACTCGCCAGTGTCAGAGGAAGGCTAAAAAAATGGTCAAAGACTCCAGCCACCCTAGTCATAATCTGTTCTCTCTGCTACCGCATGGCAAGCGGTACCGGAGCGACAAGTCTAGGTCCAAAAGGCTCCTTAACAGCTTCTACCCCAAAGCAATAAGACTGCTGAACAATTAATCCCCCCCCCCTTTGTTTTTACACTGCTGCTACTCGCTGTTTACCCTCATTGTTGTTATTTTATTGTGTTCATAATTTAAAATTGTTTTTACTTCCGTTTATTTTCTTAAAACTGCATTGCTGGTTAAGGGCTTGTAAGTAAGCATTTCACGGTAAGGTATACACCTGTTGTATTTGGCGCATCTGACAAAGGGAAAGAACTAGAGTGCATAGTTAGAAAAGGCCAATCAGAGCAGCAAGCCCACCAACCAATAGTAGGGTAGGGGGGGTCTCAGCGGTGACACAGGGGCGAGGCTCACATGCGTCCGCTTTGTTAAGTAGAGCCACCACAGGGGCACAAGACTATCAATGCTGGGTCCTGGAGTGACCACATGATGGCATAAAGCCTGACTGTAGCTCAATCTGGGTTGTTGACGCCACCTTCACTAGTTCCTGGGTTTTCCTCTGAAGAGTAGCCCAGGTATTTATCTCAAGGGGAAAAAATATTTCTGTGATAAATACAGGTTAAATAATTGATAATAATAATAATAATAATAGACTGCCTGTTAAAATGTAGTCCTATGTTATTGGTGGTTGAAGTAACATACCCTTTCCCCACTTGGTAAACAAATGTAGCATGAATTTAGTTCTATTTTAGCCCATCTTCATAGAACTTCCTTGAAATAGTAACTACTTACTGAATTATCACCCAAATGTCATCGCTGTTAAAATAACTGCTAAGTGCATTCAGATTTAAGGAACCCGACTACAAAGTTAGTGTTAGTTTGACATTTGAGTGATTAGTGACTACACTAAGAACATCACAACAAGCTAAGCCTAGTACTCAGTCAGCGCCACACCAACTATGAACAATGTTTACTTGCTCCCAGAAACGTGTCAAGGATCCAACTACTAGCCCCGCTAACCTCTCCATTGAGAGTCAGGCTGAGGGGATCTATCCGGGGAGTTGTAATTCAGTTAAAGACCAAGCCATTCTGTTGAATGGAGCCAATTTGTCCCAAGGGCATCCTCACTGGTTTATTTGGCAGTAGGACAGCATTGAGCATAGAAGATGCCAACCGATCCAAGCTGAAGACTCAATCTCTACCCAGTCCCACTCCTCCACCCAGCGTTGTTTTAATTCAGACCAGAACAAAACAATGAGACTTGGCCCTGACCTGGTTTCCATGTAGGAGTTTAAATTGTGTCCAGAACAATTTGTCTTTGACTGTAGGAGTAAACATGTCACTCCCTATAAGACATGATTTGAGATGTGTTTCTTACATTTTGATATTATTGAATTCTCAGGAAGTTTTATATATTTTATCTGAATATTAGCTGATAACATAATAATCTAGGGCCTCGCTGGCTCTGCTAGCCTGCTATCTCCCCTCTTGCTTTGCATGTCTTCCCTTTAGTCTACACACAGGCTAGCCAACCAGCACACACTCCCAAGATTAACCAAACTTCAGCACAGGAACATTCTACACACGTGTTTCTGTGATAATCTATAGGAAGCCTCTGGAGATCCCCCAAAAGTAAATAAACAGTGAGAGTACAAGTCAGCAAGAACCAGTCTGAAATGTGAGCGATTTCAAGGACAGAGAAAATCCCATATGTCAACATCAGCAAGGGCAGGCCATGACAGGACTGAGCTAGACAGTTGACAGAGACTAGGACTCAATCCAGCCGTGTCATCTCATCGCTGACTGGAGCCCACATCCGTTGGCTATCACCGTCACCTCGACCTGTCCTCTCCACCGACACCCTGTCCTGGTCTGCTTCCCAAATGACACCCTATTCTCTATAGGAATCTGGTCAAAAGTAGTGAATAGGGTGTCATTTGGGACGCAGGCCTGACCTGCTGCCATCGTGGCTCCATGGTCGGTTACATAGGGCTAAGCTGATGTCACGGCCAACATCCGAGAACGATTATAAAATGGGCACGGGCTGTTTCCCCGATGACATCACACTGGCAACAACTTGCTCTGTCCATCTTCATTCCTCCCTCTTTTCCCACTATTTATGAGGTGTCATGCTAGGAAAAGATCCAGAGGAGGTATTCTACCCCATAGAGAACAAAACACAGGGCTACATGCTAGGAGAGTATTCACTTCAGTGAAGTGTCAGCTGCAAAACATAATTACTTTTAGTGTAATATATTTAAGAGCCCTCAACTCGAAAAGGAGGAGGGGGGAGGGGGTAAATAAGGGGTTCTGAGTGACTATAACGAAGTGGGTTGTTATCCAGTGTTTTAGTACGCACTAGGGCTGTCCTCGACTAGAAAAAATCTTGGTCGACCAAGAGCAGTCTGTTCTTTTGACCAATCGACTGGTCGACATTTTTAAACGTGCATTTCGTCCATATATTAGACCCACCCTGTGTGTTTTATTCAAATCAACTATAAGTAAGCTACTGAACTTGTCTGATGCTTTAAGCACACTGTGATTACATAATTAAAGACACACAAATGACTCAAAAGGGAGCCAGAGATCAAGATAGCCTAACCAGAAGAAAATAACACCGGTTCCCGAACCACCACCTCCCGCTGCTGCTGGCCTTCACAGATTCTGCCATTAGCTCCCGAAGTTGCCAGTAATAGGCTACACGCCAGGGGTTGGCAACCTTCTCCATTCAGAGTGCCAATTTAGCCTACCATTTCTACCGATCTGCATGCCAGTTATGATTTTCAAATGCACATTTTCGTGGAACAATCATTTATTTTATAATAAAGTCTTCATATCTCAAAATCATTGTCATGTGATTAATAAAAACTCTAAAATGAAAACTATACAAATCTAAAAGTAACTTCTAATACCATTGTCAACTATGTAAAAATAGCCTACATAAAGCCAACAAATAAAATCATTGCGGCCTGCAGGTAGAAAAGAAATCACATTGGCTGCGCATGGCCTGTCTGCAATGAACTTAAAAACATTGAATCAACTATCAACTTGGTCCGGCCCAAAGCTTGCACTAACAAACTTTCAACATTGTATAAAATATTCTGGACTCTGAGTTTCCACGCCAGTGAGCTACAGACAGACACAGCTGTATTTGCGCAAAGGATAAGTAATGAGGTAGGCCTATTTTATGACGTTTCCATTGGGTCAGAGCGTTAAATTTTTTTCAGAAATACTATCATATCCCCAAATGAGCACATTTATAAGCCTAAATTTGCGTGCAAGCAAGGTAGACTAGGCCTACTTCTATGCGTAATCAGGTGCCCGTCCTTACTCAACATTGATAGGAGCGCTCCAAACAAAACACAATGAATAAATTGACAAAACTCGTAAATGGAATGAAATAAACCAAAACTTGTTTCTCACAAGTGTAGCCTCGGTTGTGCGCTCTGCAAACAACAGGTCCACTCCGACAATGAGAACTGTAAAATAATAATAATAATAATAATAATAATCATAATATATTGAATGCATTAACATAAACTACAGTAACCAAACAAACATTGTAGATTAGAAATTATTGGAATTAGCATCCACAATGGATTAGTCCACGGAGACAGGCGTCAATCAAGACACGTGCCATAAAAAAAGTATTTTTTGCAACTGCTCGACTAAATTAAAATAAAACATAAAATACAAAAATCAACCAGTCCACTAAAATGGGGTCAGCCCTAGTAGGCACTAATTTAAAAAAAACACCTTCAAAAATATTCCTTCCTCCATGCCAGTTCTCTCTGGCGCAGTGCTCCCCCCTGCTACCTTGCCCGCTGTACTCCCGCCCCCCAAACTCCACATTTACCCTCCTAACACAACTGCGAGAGATGTTTTTACATACAAGTAAACATTTCCAGGAATAGCATAACTCACACTAGCCTTGGCAAGAGGAGGCCTTCACTACACAATGTCGAGCATGACCGCACTGCTGCAGAATGCCATGGGAATGCATAACATGATGGCAGTCTTCCAGATACTCCCTCAGTGCTACTCAGTTTTCCAACACTTTAGCTTTATTTTCATCTTAAACATGATGCCTATTGAGTGTGAATGGTAAACACCCTACCTGGACACTACAGAACACAGATAAGGTTGAACATTGAGCTAGGGCCTCTGACTCCGACATTTGAAGTGAATTTGAAACAAGTCTCTTACCCATCCTCATCTCCATCCATGGGAATGGCTATCCCGAACAGGCTGTTGACGGTGGGAGTAGCCAGCTGCAAGCTCTCAGGGATGAAAGGCCTCATGACATCTTTTCCAGGGGTGGCATTGGGCTGAGGTAGGGTGTCCGACCTCCTGCGGCTGTCATCCCCCTGGCTGGCTGTGGGAAGGCCCTGCCCGGCTGCTCCAGCTGTGGTCTCACCGTGAGCTACCTGGGCCAGGGGGAGTCCTCCTGTGTCAGGAGCCTGGCTTGGCATGCCTGGGGTGTTGTTGGTGGCGCTGGGCACTGTGGCAGGCACATTCTGTACAACGGAGGCGCTGCCCACTCCTCCTGACGGCTGAGGATGACTCACCGGCTGCTGTAGGGCACCCCCGGGCAGGAGAGGAGCCATAACTGCCCCGCTGGCTACCTGCAGCAACAGCCCCTGGGCCAAGGCTAAAGGACCGCCGTGCAAAGACCCAGCCAGCTCCCCGGCCTGAGGGGTTTTGCCAGACGAGGGGCCCTGGCTCGAAGGATGCCCCACAGAGAGGGAGGCCACGGGGAGGGTTTGAGGGCTGGAGCCCTGAGGCTGTAGAGGGGGTAAGTGCTGCTGTCGGTAGTCCAGCTGACTGGGGAGCATTCCAGACGGATGAGCGGAGTAGGCAAACTGCTGGGCCTGCGTGGGAAGAGGCATAAGGGGGGATTTCTGCAGCATGCCATCTTGGGGCACGCCATTGAGGCCAGTAGGGTGAAGTGTTTGGGGGACAGCGGGCTGCACGTTGACCTGGGACTGGGATACCGTCGCTGAGTACCCTGTGGGCTGTAAGGCACTCGCCCCGCTCCCTGTCTGGGGCTCTAAGCCATAGCCTTGCTGCTGAAGCTCCGGAGGATGGCCATGGTGGAAAGTGTAGTAGCCACTATCACCCGCTGACTCCTGAGCCTGTGTGGAGAGGGTACTAGGAGCGACCACAGTGCCTCCTGTGGCCCCTAGCCCACTGTCTGCATTGTGGTCAGTGGTGACAGCATGTTTTATGCTATCCACAGTCCTGCTCATGCTACAGCCCTCAGAATCTCTCTCATAGAACTCTGTACATGTCCATCTGCCCCGTCTGAAGGGCTCTCCTGTACCGTGGTCAAGTTTAATGACCCTGAAACGTGAACTACAGCTTGTCGTCGTTGAAGAGCTAGGTGCCGCCGCGGGGGGCATCTGAGACACACTTGGGGAAACACTTGCAGCAGGGCCAGTGTTGACTGTTGTCGGCTGCTGGGTGGCCGAGGTTGGAATGGATGGCTGACTCACGGCTGGTACAGGAACACTCCCCCCTAAAAAGGGTGGGTTGACATGACTCACGCCTGTACTTCTAAAAACATGGCCCCCATTAAAAGGACCTGTTGCAGCCACTGGCTGCCCCTCTTGAAGTAAATGTAAGACCATGACAGCTGCCTCCGCTTCCCCTACATTGTTTAAAGTCTCCTCCGATGAACTTCTGTCACATACTCCCGGATCGGCCCGGGACACGTCGAATATTTCGGATGACACATCCTCGGTCCTGGATTCGTCCGGGTCGTCCAGACTCTCGGTGTCATCAGTGATGCTACTGGCCGCCACCTGAGCCTGTGTCACACTCGTGATCTGAAAACAACTCTTCTTCTTTGCTGGCATTTTTGACATGTTGAATATCTACGCTTGTCACTCAGGTGACTGTATTTCCAGATAAGTGTTTCGTCTGAGCTCAATAAGTTATAGCTATTAGCTAGCTACCTAAAGAATTCACAGATTATAACAAGTATGCGACATATTCCTTGCTCCCTTCTCCTGTTGCAGATTGTGTCTGTAAAAACGAACGAGCCCACTTCGTCCGAAATCGGACAGGGTAACGTTAGCTAGTCTCTGTGTGACAAGTCTCCCGATCCCACCGACTCCTCTCCTCCGGTTCTTCCGAACCTGGCCTCCTGCGTGCGTTATTGTCCCGGCCCCGGAGTTGCAAGCAGCTCCCTGTTGCAGTTACCGCTCACCAGCTGCTACCGACACTTTAGTCTGAGGCGGGCTCCGTTCTTCACCACTCTCCCTTTTAGCTAGCTAGCTAATGTAGCTAAAAGCTAACTAGCTAGCCAAATAATAGCTATCGGTGTCGTTAGTTCGATCCCTACCTAGAAACAAGCCTGTACGACATCATGTAAACAAGTCCATATCCTCTTCCAAATCTTCACATTGAATCTATATCCTCCGACAGACAGAAATGGCTTAATTTAAGAAAGTTTATCTTCCTCGTCCTCAGGTTCTCTCACTCTTTAGAGCTGCTGCTATGACAGAAATGCACTTACTAGCAGCAAGCTAACTGCCGCTCTGCTCTTCCTCTTACCACTCGACAAGATGGCAAAAAAAAACGCACTGCACTCTGGGAGGGTTGCGCATTGATTTACGTAAATCATTGGAGATTTCGGATGGGATACGCTGATTTGCTTTTATTATCGTAAAAATTCCTGAAAACATTAATTTAAGGTCAGGGTTAGGCAGTGTGGTTAAGGGTTAGGTTTAAAATCAGACTTTAGGAAAATAAATGGTAGAAATAGGTGGGGTTTATGACTTTGTGGCTGTGGTAACTAGTGACGACCATTCTGAAGGGACACACCAAACCACAGATAGAACAAAATATTTGACTATGCTGTGCTGTATTTGGACACACTCTTTTCACGCAATTTCAATACAGCTACGACCTGCAGGTTATGATAAAATTTTCCCTAACCCTAATCTTAACTTCCGGTTGTAGCTGTATCGAAGTGGCGTGAAAAGAGTGTTTCTCATCTCAAACCAGTGTCTAATGCTGCGTTCACTTGCTATCGGAAACTCAGAACCTCCAAGTTAAAATAAACATTCTTTACGAAGAGCACAGGCGTCAAACTCAGTGGAGGCTGCTGAGGGGAGCACAGCTCATAATAATGGCTGAACGGAGCAAATGGAATGGCATCAAACACATGGAAACCATGTGTTTGATGTATTTGATACCATTCCACTCATACCGCTCCAGCCATTACCACGAGCCCGTCCTCCCCAATTAAGGTACCACCAACCTCCTGTGGTCAAACTCATTCCACAGAGGGCCGAGTATCTGCAGGTTTTCACTCCTCCCTTGTACTTGATTAATGAATGAAGGTCACTAATTAGTAAGGAACTCCCCTCACCTGGTTGTCAAGGTCTTAATTGAAAGGAAAAACCAAAATCCTGCAGACATTAGGACTTCCATGGAATGAGTTTGACACCCCTGGTGTAAGCTTCCTATTGGTTGATTCTGATACTTACCAAGAAACTCGGGATCATTTTTCTACAACGAGTAAGCACGTCCGAAATTTCGGAGTTTCCTAGTTCCGACAAGCACATGAATGTGGCATAACTCTGACGTTTCTGACTTGCTTAGTCGCTGTAGAAATGCCGCGTTCACATTGTGTTGGAAACTCTGAAATGTCCAATTTGCTAATCTAGGCGGAAGATTCGGATCCCGAGTTTTCCACTTGGGAGGTATCAGAATCAACCAATAGGAAGCTCTATGCAAATAACTTACATTAATTTAAACTCGGAGGTCCTGAGTTTCTGACATGACGTGAACTCGGCATCAAACACTGAGCTATATGTTGGATCTCAAACAAATGTTCGCTACTGAGCCACTTAAGACTCTGAGTTGTGCAAGCTAGGCTCATGAAAATGTGTACCACAATCAGTGGAGGCAGCTGAGGGGAGGACGGCTCATAATAATGGCTGGAACGGAGCAAATGGAATGGCATCAAACACATGTTTGATGTATTTGATACCATTCCACTGATTCCACTCCAGCCATTACCACAAGCCTGTTCTCCCAAATTAAGGTGCCACCAACCCCCTGTGGCCACAATGAATCCAGGTATGATGATTCAGCTTGATGTCAATCTTTAGTTCAATAGATAAATGACTCATGACTATGATTCACGGATCAAGATGAATGTAATAATTTTCTTGAATGAGTCATATTTTCAGTCAATGAGGTTTTCCAGATATATTTTTTTATATTGTAGTTTTTTTTCCCCATGCAGCCTGATTGGACATATTCATTATAGATATTGCAATGTTAAAGCTATGAAAATGCAATATAGATATAAAGATTATAATTATTTTATCAACCTAATATGGCACACATCATTTAGATTAGGCCACCCCACTAAGCATTTGACTGGTGCAGTGCAGACCGGCCTTGATTTCTCAACGTCCACGGACGTAGATTTTTGGTCCAGTTCGGACCAGACTAAATCTGAACCAATCATAGACGTCCACAGATGTCCGGTCTATATTTGGCCCAAATTTAGACGTTCAGATTTGGTCCGGACCGGCCTTGATTTATCCCAAACATAGACATCTATAATTACATAACAGACATGGAAATTCTTTACATATTTAATCATATTTAATAGTTTTTATTTTGTAATAGCTAAATGAGTGCAGATCAAGTCTTCATATCATGTATTGGATTTTTGCCCTAAATTGATGAAAAACAGTGTTGTCAACAAGCTAGCTAGCTAATGCTATCTATCCAGTGTGTGTTTTCATTTGAATTACACCTACTGACTCTGGGTTGTTTTTCACCAACGGTGACCCAAGAGGAGGCTTTGCATGCAGATGTGGCAGTGGGCCAGCTTTTTCATTGCTCAGGAGGATACTTCTGAAGTAAGGAGTGGGCTGTACTCTGTGGGGAGCTAAAACTTCCTCACAGGGTCCCAATACAGAGAATCTGCAGATGTCGGAGACACCCTGATGACATTCAGCTGCCTACCTACCTGCCTGCCCTTGGACATGCTGACCTGGCCACCAGCTCCGACCACCACCTCTGACCACCACTTCCGCTGACTATCTAGCTATGAGCTTCCAGATCCTCTCATGACCACATCTGCCCATCTGCTGGAGGCTTCAAGAAGCACATGCTATACAAGTTTAATAAAGTCTTATTATTAATTATGATAATTGGTTCAGATATCCACACCAATCATAATATTTTATTTAACCTTAATTTAATAAGCAAGTCAGTTAAGAACAAATTCTAATTGACAATGATGGCCTACCCCGGCGATGCTGGGCCAATTGTGTGCCGCCCTATGGGACTCGCAATCACGGCCTGGAATGGAACCAGGGTCTGTAGTGACGCCTCTAGCAGTGAGATAATAATAATATGCCATTTAGCAGACGCTTTTATCCAAAGCCCCTTACAGTCATGTGTGCATACATTTTTACGTACGGGTGGTCCTGGGGATCGAACCCACTACCCTGGCATTACAAGCACCACCAATTGAGCTACAGAGGACCACAAGATGCAGTTCCTTAGACCACTGCACCACTCGGGAGCCCATCTAGTTTGTAGACATCTGTTTCACAAGTTTGGACAGCACAGCAGAGTAGAGTACAGTACAGCACAGCAGAGTACAGCACAGTACAGCACAGTACAGCACAGTAGAGCACAGCACAGTAGAGCACAGTAGAGCACAGCACAGTAGAGCACAGCACAGTAGAGCACAGTAGAGCACAGCACAGTAGAGCACAGCACAGTAGAGCACAGCACAGTAGAGCACAGTAGAGCACAGCACAGTAGAGCACAGCACAGTAGAGCACAGTAGAGCACAGCACAGTAGAGCACAGCACAGTAGAGCACAGTAGAGCACAGCACAGTAGAGCACAGTAGAGCACAGCACAGTAGAGCACAGCACAGTACAGCACAGTAGAGCACAGTAGAGCACAGCACAGTACAGCACAGTAGAGCACAGTAGAGCACAGTAGAGCACAGCACAGTAGAGCACAGTAGAGCACAGTAGAGCACAGCACAGTAGAGCACAGCACAGTACCTTAGAGAACAGCACAGCAGAGTAGAGTACAGTACAGTACAGTAGAGAACAGCACAGTAGAGCACAGCACAGTACAGTAGAGCACAGTACAGTACAGTACAGTACAGTACAGTACACCACAGCAGAGTAGACTACAGTACAGTACAGCACACTAGAGTACAGCACAGTAAAGAAAAGTATAGTGTCCTGTATTGTACTCTACTTTACTCTAATGTACTCTACTAGGGCAGTGGGCCTAGCGGTTAAGAGCGTTGGGCCAGTACTTGAGAAGTTGCTGGTTCAAATCCCTGAGACTGACTAAATTAAGAAGCTGTTGATGTGCTCTTGAACAAGGCACTAAACCTTGTAAGTTACTCTGGGTAAGAGTGTCTGCTAAATGACGACTGTATATTCTATTGTACACTACTTTACTGTCCAATACACGTATTGTACCGTGTTCTATTGTACAAAACTGTGCTCTACTGTGCTGTTCAAACTTGTGAAACTGTGATTTGTTTGGATCTGGTCCGCACCGACCAAATCTGCAGTTGTTTGGGGGTGGTGCTTTTTTTCTTTTCTTATCCAGAGTGACACAATCAGTCCATTCAACTAAGGTAGATAAACAACAACATATCACAGTCATAGCAAGAAAAAAATAATATGTAACCGTTACTGAGAATGTTACTGTAGTTGAAGTGGTCTGTTGGTTCATTCTGTAGGTTGGACTACATTGAACATCATTGCTGCCAGTTTTAAAGCTTTTGAAAAAGCTAACATAAGTGCATGAGATAGATGGGAGCAATAATATATATTTTGTTGTAGTCCCATGTGGCTCAGTGTAGTCCCGTGTGGCTCAGTGTAGTCCCGTGTGGCTCAGTGTAGTCCCGTGTGGCTCAGTGTAGTCCCGTGTGGCTCAGTGTAGTCCCGTGTGGCTCAGTGTAGTCCCGTGTGGCTCAGTGTAGTCCCGTGTGGCTCAGTGTAGTCCCGTGTGGCTCAGTGTAGTCCCATGTGGCTCAGTGTAGTCCCGTGTGGCTCAGTGTAGTCCCGTGTGGCTCAGTGTAGTCCCGTGTGGCTCAGTGTAGTCCCGTGTGGCTCAGTGTAGTCCCGTGTGGCTCAGTGTAGTCCCATGTGGCTCAGTTGGTGGAGCATGCCATTTTCAACGCCAGAGTTGTAGGTTCGATTCCCACGGTGGACCAGTTTGTTAAAGTATGAAACTTGTATGCACTCACTATTGTAAATGTTGCAATCTTCAGTTGGCTCCTCTTTCCTATTAAGAGGTGTGAAAAGTTCTTATTTTTAAATAATGCATACTTAATTGAGAATGTATAGTGGTTGAAATATTGGCCAATCAATGACCGAAAAATACTTTTCAATGTCTGTAAATTACATATTTTCAACTTCCGGAAAATATGTATTTTACCTTTCATTCAGCACCTAAAATACACCTGATTTCAATGTCTAGAAAATTTGTATTTTTAATGTCCGGAAAATAAGTATTTTCTATGTCTGGAAAATAAGT